GAGCGCCGCCGCCGCCGGTCCCGCGCCCGGGCCGCCCCGCCGCTCTGGGGCCGTGGCTGTCCTGCTCCTCTGCCGCCCTCGGGTGACAGCGCCGTGCCCCCAGCGCTCCGACCCGCGGCTGCTGGCCCAGTTCTTCCACGCCGATGAGCAGGTGACCCGGGTGGTGGCGGAGATGAACTGCCTGGACGCGGAGATGGACCCGCAGCAGTACCTGGCACTGCTCAGCCAGCTGCACCTCAGCCAGGTACCCGGGGCGGCGTGGGGCAGGGCGGGAGCGGAGGCCCCGGCCGTCCTCGCTGAACAGCCGGCCCAGGGCTGCGGGAGGCAGCGGTGCCATGTGGCACGAGCCCAGGGCTGGGCCGTGCTGCAGCCTGACGTCGGTGCCCCTCGCCCAGGTGCGCCTGCTCGCCGTGCTCCAGCGCATCATGGACGAGTGCATCCCCACGGCGCGGCACAGCCGCGACTACCACGCCAAGTTCCCGGAGGAGCTGCTGGCCAACGACCTGGGCAACCACCTGCTCTTTGCAGCCGAGGTGGGCCCAGACCCTGGGTGGTGGGGGGTGTCCAGTCCTGTCTCATGGTGAAGGGCTCGTTCTGGGGCTGCCTGCAACCCGTGACGTCTAGAGGAGCTGTCCCTCCCCCTGCATTGCACGGGCCTTGCATGGGCCCCCTGCCAGCCCTGAATGAGTCCTCGTGCAAGGGTGCCCAGGGTGGGGAGTGCAGGGGGTCTGGGCTACACCCTGGGATCTGACCCGCCCCGCGCTGTCCCCGCAGTGCCTGGTGGCTGGCACCTTCCTGGAGCTGGACGTGGCCGAGGGGCAGCACCTGCGCCCGCTGGCCAGGACCCTGCTGCGCAGCCTGGAGCTGGTACGGGTGCTGCTGCGGGAACAGAGCCTGAGCCAGGCTGGGCCCTACCCACAGTCCGTGCAGGCTGCACTGGTCCAGTTCGATGCGCTCTTTGCCGAGTTTGAACTGAGGTGGGCACAGCTCTGGGGGCTCCCCCACCCCGGCCTGGGTCCCAGCCTCCCCTTGCAGCCCAGGGCGCCTGGACACGTCCTGGGTAGCATCCTGTGGTGCTGGGGATCCCAATAGGGAGGCTCAGGCAGGGCGGGGGGCATTGCTCCCAGGTCGTGGGCTCTGGGGCGGGTGAGCTAGGCATCACGGGGCCTGTTCCCTCCAGCTACGTGTCCTCACTGGTCACGCTGAAGTCGCCGGAGGAACTGTACAAGCAGCAGGAGATCATCGTGCTTTTCTGCGAGACGGTGCAGAGGTGAGAGGCCACAGTCCAGGCAACAGCTCTGGCTCTGGACGGCTGCGGGGCAGGGGTCCCAGGCAGGAGACCAGAGCGCAGCGCTGGCCCCTGCGCCCAGCAGCTCTTTGCACCCCTGCGGCACCCCCTCCCCCAGACAACTAAGGCCCTCCCTAACCCCCTGCAGGGCCCTGAGACTCGGGTACCTGACACAGGAGATGATTGATCAGTACGAGCCACTGCTGATGTTCACCATTCCCCGCCTGGCCATCATCAGGTAGGCCCAGGGCAGGCACGGCTGGGGCAGGGCCAGTGGGGCAGGGAGCTCTTGGGCTCAAGCCACCATCTGAGCTACTGCCCCGTCACTCCCTGCCTGCAGCGGGCTCCTGATCTACCCTGAGGGGCCACTCAGCCTGGAGCGGCAGCCCAAGGAGATGTCCAGGGTCTTCAGCCCCTTCTACGTCCTGTTGAGAAAGATCAGGTGGGTGAGGCGGGGGCACAGGGCTCCAGGCTCGTGCAGGGCAACGTGCTGCTGGGCAGGGCGGTGGGACCCTCTGCAGAGCCCGGGGCCCTCACACCTGCCTTGGCCCCTGCAGGGACCTGCTGCAGGCGCTGTCGGCTGAGGAGCTGTCCCTGCTGGAGTGGAGCCTGTGCACCGCCCAACTGGAGGAGCCCCGCACTGCTGCTCTGCCCCTGCCCCTGCCCCTGCCCGCCCCACCTGGCCCTGCTCCTCCGCAGGATGCCAGGGGCCCTGGCACTGCATCCGGGTGCTGGGCGAGGCCAGGGGCAGGCTGCAATGCGGGTGTCCCAGGGGGGCCAGCACTCGGGGGCACGGAGCGGGGGCTGCCTCACCTCCACAGGCCTCTGAGTGCCTGTCCTGGTAACCTGACTACCGCCTGCGACACCCCAGCACTGCTGGTCCCTGCCCCGGCCATGCCCAGCACAGGCTGGGATGCCCAAGAGCTGCAGCCCCAGCTCCTGCCCATGGCCTTTGGCCAGGCACCCAGGGCAGGGCAGTGCTGGGGGCCCCATACCCACTCCCCGGCTGAGGGGACCAACCTGGGCCAGATCCCAGCTCTTCCTCCGGTGCCATGCAGTGACCGAGGCCCTGGTACCTGCAGCGGGTAGGTGGCCACAGGCAATGGGTGGGCAGCTGCACCTGGGCGGCTTGCCCTGGGGGACAGGCACCAGAGGGTCCGAGCCACCTGACCCTTGGGGGCTGCTCCGGGTTGGATTGTGCTCCAGGGCCAGGCCCTTTATCTCTCTCCTCTGCGCAGGCCCCCGGGCAGCAAGTGTGTCTGCGCACCCCCTGGCACAGTGCCGCACGCCCAGCGGGCAGAGCTCCGCTCCTGCTACAGCAGCACCTGGGACATGATCCACACGCTCTTCATCTGCATCTCAGGTAAGTGCTGGGCACAGACACGGGGCTCTCCCAGCATGGGACCAGACAGCTCTCACCTGCAGCGGGCAGGGGACCTGCCGAGCCCGGAAGCTTGTTGTGGCTCTGCAGCCCCCGCCGCGCTGCCCGACGCTGCACTCTTCCCGCAGGGGTGGCTGACCAGCTGCAGACCAACTTTGCCAGCGATCTGCGGAGCATCCTCAGGACCGTGTTCACCATCGTGATGTCCCAGCCTGAGGCGCCAGGCGCTGGCTGTGAGTGTCTGCTCAGTGCAGGTGGCCGGGCCAAGCAGGGATTCTTGCAGCTGGCCCTAGGCTGGATCCCAGCACTTGATGCTGCAGCCCGGCCCCTGTGCCTGGGTAGGGGCAGGGCCTGCCCTGGGGTCACCTTTCAGTGCAGGCGGGGCTGGCACCTCGGGTCCCTGCCAGCTGCCCCGGGGCATGAGAGCCCTCTATGCTCTGGTGCTACCAGGGCCTGGGTAGGGTCTCAGTAGCCAGGCAGGGACAGGGCGGCAGGAAGCAGCCCCCGGAGTGGCCTGAGGTGGGGTGCACAGCGAGCCTGCACGGCACTAACGCCCCCTCTGCCCCCAGCCATGGACAAGGAAGGTGACGCCTGCCTGGCAGAGACTGGCCCCCGCATACCCAACTGCGCCCTGTGCTCCACCAGCCACGAGGGAACAGGTGAGAGGGGCAGGGCACTGCCGGAATGGCCCCAGGGCAAGCACAGGGGCTCCCCTCCCTGCCCCCGGCTCGGCTGGTCCAAGCGGCTTTGGGGACCATCGCCCCCCTCCAGCCCACCCAAGTGACCCGGCCAGGCAGGGGGCACATGGAGCTGGGTCCTGGCCCAGGGCCACTCCTCCGCCTGGTCCCTCATGGTGCCCATCCTTCCCCAGGCACCACCGGGCTGCCGCGGTGGGTGCCAGACAGTACTTGCAGCCAGTGCTCTGCCTGCCACACGCCCTTCACCCTGCTGCGCCGGCGGCACCACTGCCGCAACTGCGGGAAGGTAGGAGCCCGGGGCACCGCGGCTGGACAGGGCCCGCTCCCTCCCGCGAGGGCAGAGGGGCCCGCAGGGCCGTGCCAGTGGGAGGGGCAGCCTGGCAGGGCGGCGCCGGGCGCTTGTAGGACGATGCCGGGCTACCAGGCACTGCTCACCCCCGCCTCCCTTGGCAGATCTTCTGCGCCCGCTGCTCCCTGCACATGGCGCCGCTCCCGCACTATGGACAGCTGAAGCCGGTGCGCGTCTGCACCCACTGCTACACCACGCACCTGCCGCCCACCACCCGACCCCGCCACCCCTAGCTACGTGCCCCCCACCACGGGAGCCCACCAGGCTGCCCCAGCGCTGGCAGCCTGACCCTGCTGAGGCCCTGGGTGCCCCAGGCCTGCTGCAGTGCCGCGGGCTCTGGGCCCCCAGCTCAGGCCCACCTTCACCACTAAAGCCCCAGGGAGGCAGCCCCGGGCCGCGTGGCGCTGGAGGGCCTAGCGCCCTGGTGCCGGCGCCGGGGCCGCTGGCTGGGCTCCAGCACCGTGCCTAGACTCCTGGAGGCCCCGGGCGCACTTCTGTTCTCGGCCCCAGTCGCCAGAGACGACAATAATAATAATCAGATAATGGAAAAAACATTATAATTTCCGAGCCCCCTTTCTGCCCCTGCCCCGGCAGCCGCCCGGTTCACCCGAGTCCGGCCCTGCCGGGCTCCCCTGCGGGAGGAAGCAGGTTCCCACCTCCGACCTGCCCGACCGCTCCAGGCCTGCGGCTCCGGGCCCAGACGGGCCGGTGCGGTTCCGCTGGAGCCGCCGCCCTGCTTCCCCGCACCGGGGCGCGGCGGGGGAGTGCGGTGCCCCAGGCAGAGG